TGTACAGGAATTCAGTAAAGTGTCAGGATATAAAATCAATGCACAGAAATCAGTTGCATTTCTCTACACCAACAACAAGACAGAAGAAAGAGAAATTAAGGAGTCCATCCCATTTACAATTGCACCCAAAACTATAAGATACCTAGGAATAAACCTAACCAAAGAGACTAAGAATCTATACACAGAAAACTATAAAGTACTCATGAAAGAAATTGAGGAAGACACAAAGAAATGGAAAAATGTTCCATGCTCCTGGATTGGAAGAAGAAATATTGTGAAAATGTCTATGCTACCTAAAGCAATCTACACATTTAATGCAATTCCTATCAAAGTACCATCCATTTTTTTCAAAGAAATGGAACAAATAATCCTAAAGTTTATATGGAACCAGAAAAGACCTCGAATAGCCAAAGCAATATTGAAAAAGAAAGCCAAAGTTGGTGGCATCACAATTCCGGACTTCAAGCTCTATTACAAAGCTGTCATCATCAAGACAGCATGGTACTGGCACAAAAACAGACACATAGATCAATGGAACAGAATAGAGAGCCCAGAAATAGACCCTCAACTCTATGGTCAACTCATCTTCGACAAAGCAGGAAAGAATGTCCAATGGAAAAAAGACAGCCTCTTCAACAAATGGTGTTGGGAAAATTGGACAGCCACATGCAGAAAAATGAAATTGGATCATTTCCTTACACCACACACGAAAATAGACTCAAAATGGATGAAGGATCTCAATGTGAGAAAGGAATCCATCAAAATCCTTGAGGAGAACACAGGCAGCAACCTCTTTGACCTCAGCCGCAGCAACATCTTCCTAGGAACATCACCAAAGGCAAGGGAAGCAAGGGCAAAAATGAACTATTGGGATTTTATCAAGATCAAAAGCTTTTGCCCAGCAAAGGAAACAGTTAACAAAACCAAAAGACAACTGACAGAATGGGAGAAGATATTTGCAAACGACATATCGGATAAAGGGCTAGTGTCCAAAATCTATAAAGAACTGAGCAAACTCAACACCCAAAGAACAAATAATCCAATCAAGAAATGGGCAGAGGACATGAACAGACATTTCTGCAAAGAAAACATCCAGATGGCCAACAGACACATGAAAAAGTGCTCCACATCACTCGGGATCAGGGAAATACAAATCAAAACCACAATGAGATACCACCTCACACCAGTCAGAATGGCTAAAATTAACAAGTCAGGAAATGACAGATGCTGGCGAGGATGCGGAGAAAGGGGAACCCTCCTGCACTCTTGGTGGGAATGCAAGCTGGTGCAACCACTCTGGAAAACAGCATGGAGGTTCCTCAAAATGTTGAAAATAGAACTACCCTATGACCCAGCAATTGCACTGCTGGGTATTTACCCTAAAGATACAAACGTAGTGATCCGAGGGGGCACGTGCACCCGAATGTTTATAGCAGCAATGTCTACAATAGCCAAACTATGGAAAGAACCTAGATGTCCATCAACAGACGAATGGATAAAGAAGAGGTGGTATATATACACAATGGAATACTATGCAGCCATCAAAAGAAATGAAATCTTGCCATTTGCGACGACGTGGACGGAACTAGAGGGTATCATGCTTAGCGAAATAAGTCAATCGGAGAAAGACAACTATCATATGATCTCCCTGATATGAGGGAGAGGAGATGCAACATGGTGGGTTAAGGGGGTAGGAGAAGAGTAAATGAAAGAAGATGGGATTGGGAGGGAGACAAACCATAAGTGACTCTTAATCTCACAAAGCAAACTGAGGGTTAATGGGGGGAGGGGGGGTTGGCGGGGTGGGATTATGGACATTGGGGAGGGTGTGTGCTGTGGTGAGTGCTGTGAAGTGTGTAAACCTGGCGATTCACAGACCTGTACCCCTGGGGATAAAAATATATTATATGTTTATAAAAAATAAAATTAAAAAAAAAAAGAAAAAAAGAAGGCAGCATGTTCAAGAGCATGAAATGGAGAACATGAGACAGGGACAAGTTGTTTAGTGAGCCTAAGTGTGTCAGCAACTATTTCCTGAGAACAATGGAATTAACCTACCTAATGGTAAGATAATTATCATATTCAGGTAACTTATTATTTGCATACAATTATGTAATATCCAGTCCATTTTAAAATTTGCCCAATTTTCCCAATAATATCATTTATATGATACAGTGCAAGAGCTAATCAAAGATTGTGCATTACATTTGGTTGTCCTATCTCTTGAATTTCCCTCAGTCTCCCTAACCTCTTCTTTTTTTCCTTTCTTATTTGTTTTTCATAACTGATAGTCTTTCAGAACCCACACCAGTCACTTTACAGAATGTTCCTCACTTTGGGTTTCCTTTTTTGGGGGGAGGGGTTTAAGATTTTATTGATTTATTAGAGAGAGAGAGATCATGAGCAGGGGGGAGGGGAAGAGGGAGAAAGCCCAAGGTGGGACTTGATACCAGGACACTGGGATCATGACCTGAGCTGAAGGCAGATGCGTAACTGACTGAGCCACCCAGTCACCCTCACTTTGGATTTTATTATAGTTTCCTCACATTTAGATTTAGGATAAGTATTTTTGTGCCAAGTACTACACAGGTTGAGTCCGTCTCAGGGCACCCTTTCAGAAGGCATTATTGTCAGTGTCTACCATTACTGTCACACTTGATGTCAGATTTGATTATTTAGGTAAGGTGACATCTGCCAGATTTCTCCAAATCCTGTTCCCTGACAGCCTTATACCCAATAGTTTCTGCACCCGTTAATGATTTCTGCCTCAATCAGTTCTTAGTATGTGAATTATAATGTAGTAAATTTTATGTTTCCCCCATATCTTTGACACCTGTTGGTTGACATTCTTCTGTAAAGAACTTTCCCTTACTCCATATTTATTTTTAATTTTTTAGTATCAGTATGGATGCATAAGTGTTCTTCCCCCGAATATATAATAATCCATCCCTATTATTACTCATTTAGTGCTCAAATCACCCTAAATTTGGCCAAGACTGTCCTTCAGTCTGGCCCCCTCTGTCCTTTTGACAAATCCCTGCTTGTCTGTGAGCACTTTCTAATTTTCTGGTACATCAATACATTCCTGGCTTTTTCCCCACTTTCTTGGTCTCTGCCCCATAATCAACTATTTCTCTAAGTATTCTGGTTTGCATTAGTAATGGTATTTAGAAACCAGGATCTGGAGACCAGGCGTGTTCATTGCTGCCACAGAGTCATTACTTCTGGGTTATTTTGGAAAGCTAGAAAAAGTGTTTTTTGGTTTGTTTGTTTGTTTTTGTTTTTGTTTTTGTTTTAAACCTTGAGCCTGTATGATACTTTTAAATGCGATCCAACACTTCATGGTTCTTGCTCTCCTTCTATTCCATATTAGTATTTCCTTTCCTACAGTGAGTTTACCCATCTGCTCAGTCTTGTAATACACACATAATGGGTTCAGAATCACTATGTCAATACCATTACCAATAGTAAACTTACTAAGGGAAGTCTACATTTTCTTTGTAGTCCTTTGATTTTAGTTTTGGGTTTGTGTTTATTTTTCCCCCCTTAAAGTGTATGTCATTAATCTCATGCTTGCTTTCTTAAAGCTTTAGATTTTTAAAATGTTGTCTTTTACTAATGAAATATACCCCTTCGATTTTGAATATCTGGCATAACTTGCAGTTCTTTTTTTTTTTAAAGTTAAGTTTGAGTGTAAATTTTCAAAGATATCTAGTTACTAATTAAGGTGTCTGAAATTTTTAATGTATTTTAATTAAAATAGCCATCAAGCCACTTTAGAATTAAATTTATCTGTAAATTAACCTTCAGATATTCTACCTGTCACCCAGCTTTTTTTTAAATTACACCCACAAAGTTTAGTACTTTGTGGGTGTAATTATTTCTAAAAATATGAGATAGAACCAGATGGAAAGAGGCCAATATATATTTATATTTATATATCTTTTTATAAACTGTAAATGAATTTGTTATCTGTACTCTCCTGCATTTATTTGTCATCTGTTTCCAATCAAGGGATTGCATTGCAGTAAAAAGCAATAAGAAATCCAGAGGAAAATAGTTTTCTATTACATAAGATGTAACTATACCAGCCATACAATTGCGTAGAGAATCCTACAAATAACCTCTTCCTGAGGGACGAAAAAAGTGTATTTCCTTGAATTTGGGCTTGGATCAGTAGTTTCTTTGAAGCTTCCCCCTGCCACTTCCTTTGAATAATATTTAGCACTGACAACTATAGATAACTACGGATATTACAAGATAATCTGTTCTTTGGAGAGAGGATTGGCTCTATAACTACAGCCTCCATTAAATAGATACAGAATATCAATTTAACCTAATCATAATTGGGTGACAAATACTTAGGTATTTGAGAGCCTCTTTTGGTTTATTTTTCATTACAGAAGACAAACTTTTCATACATTCTATCAGAGTTTGTAGTCATTGTTCTGTGTCACCTAAAGTCAAAGGACAATTATCTTCTGATATAAAAAATCAGTTGTTGTTCACAATTGTTGCATGTTCACAGTAGTTAACCTGGAAATACAATTTCGTTCAAAAAGTTTAGGCAGCAGTCTTGGTAACAGCAACAAAACATTCTCACACACCTGGTCGATTTTAGAATAGAAGCTGATGCTTTGAAAATAATCCATTTCTACAAGGGAAATGTGATTTATGATAACCTGGGACACAGATATGCCTAGAACCGCATTCTATTTAGTTATTGGGCCGCCAGACTATAAAAGCAGTCCTGTGATGTGAATCAGTGGAACCTGGTCCTCTTTAGTGGATGGCAACACAGGCACTAATGAGCCCAATTTCATTAAAAGATACTTGATTTATGAGAGAGTTGAAGTCCTTTCTTATTTTGAAATTGCTGGTTTCGCCCTGGCATCTGATCTTTCTTCCCCCTAACCATCACCATCACCAGTTTCTGTGTATGCTCTGACATTGCTAGTAACCCTGAGGGCTGATGGAATTCCCTGCATCTCTTTTCACAGAGGGTGATGAGACAGGAGTGATGGATAGTCTGCTGGAGGCTTTGCAGTCGGGGGCTGCCTTCCGCGACCGAAGAAAAAGGACACCAAAGCCAAAAGGTGAACATTATACTTGTTTCATGTTACTTTCTAGGGAACTATCATAAAGAACCACTGTTTTTTGTTTTTTTTTTTTCCTTTTAATTCTTTTCAAGTCATGTGTCAAGAATGTAGTGCTCTGGGCAACAACTCTTCAGAAGTTTCATGAGTTTGCTTAATCCTTCCCTTGCAATGACAAATGTCAGAGAAGCATTCCAGTTGGGCGATGGCAGTAGCACATTAACAAACCAAAGCACTGAACCTAGAAAATCCTGATTCATGTGACAAGTCTCATCTAAAGAACCATATGCACCTTATCCCTGTGGAATTTACAATAGCATAATTAAATGGGAAGTAAAAGTCATAACGTCATTGCTTCAAGTATTTCAGGGTATTGAAGCGTTGCTTTGGGTCCAGACATATTTAACCTTTGAAAACTGTCTAATACTGTTAACATTTCTTGAGATGAACAGACCTCTGTATTAATTTTCTCTCTCTCTCTTAACAGATATTCGGCAAAGTCTCAGTCCCATGTCTCAGAGGCCTGTTCTGAAAGTTTGTAACCATGGTAATAAACCATATTCATAAATTGCACATTCTTCTTATCTACTTTTATCCTGTTGATCTATTATTTTAATAGGCTGCTGTGAAGGTTCTCAAGTTTAAATATAACTATAGGAGTAGAAATGTGCGGATGTGCTATTGCCCTGAGATTGTATATTCATAATATTCCATGCTTACGATATGGCCTGGAGGTAGTATCTAAAGTTCTTCTTTCAGGTCTCAGATGAATTTTCCAATTTTTTATTATTCGAAATTATCTCAGACATTTTTGATCAGTGTTGCCCAGGGTGTCCTTTCAGAAACAGTTTGCTCTCAAAGTAATATTTTACATAGTGGATTTGCCCTACATCAAGATACAATTTGAAATATTAAATCTTAAACTCTTTTACTCTACCATATTTGCCAGTATATTTTGAAATACTGTGACCAGCATTTTGGCAAAATCATTAATACAGGTGAGTTTCATGTGCTCTTTTTGTGGAAGAATGTACTAGAATCACGAAAAAGGTGAGTAACTGAGTTTCTGATGTTTATCTGAGATTGACTGCTTTCAAAAGTCCCTAAGCAGCACCTGCACACCCACCTGAATAGAGCCCTCCTCTCTTCAAGGTGCCAATTCCTGCTGACCGAGTTTTATTTACATTGGTTTCCTTTCTCTCACTGTTATGTGTTATGGTGTTCTGCTTACCTTCCAAGGTCATAAGCAAATTTGTCAATTACATTGTCATTTATTCAGAGTGAGATTGTCATCAAAACTTGCCAGATTTATAAATGGAAAAATACTTGACAGATTTTCCTTCTAGGGTTGTTATAGATACGGAGGAGTTAAGTTCTGGAAGTGTTAATGTGTGGCTAAGTACAGACATTTGTGTCAAATTTCTAGGGTAGCCTAGAAAAAACTATGAAGTGAATAAGAAAAAAAGTAAATGTGGGTAATTAATCTTAATAGATGGGTAGATGTTTATTGCTCAAGGTGAAATGTTTAAATAGGTCTTTCTAGTCTTTTCAATAGTATGTTTTTGTTGTTTGGCCTTTCCCTACTCTAACAGCAGAAAAGAGGAACTGTAGTATGTTACAGATACTCATTGTGGATAATTAAGTACTTCCTAACGTTGGGTTTATGATTTGGAGTCATTGCGACATAGTCAATAATGGCAAATGTCTAGAGAATAGAGCTATCCTTGACCCTAGAGATTATTTTGTTTTGTAGATGAATAAATGGAAATTCAGAGAAGCCGCAAACCCTCCCAAGAGTGCAGAGCTAGTTAGTGACACAAATATGACCATAATGCAGTTCTGATTCCCATCACGTTTCTTTTTTTGATTACATGTGGGTATTTTGAATTATTTTTTATTAATAACAAAATATGTAAGATAATGCAGTCCCCATTGTGTGTCATTAAAGACCCACAGCCAAAACCATGATCATGAAATGATTATAATGGCATATATATATCCATCCTATGCTTAATTTAAAATAAGTATTTTAGTTATTATGTAGAGGAAGATTATTTAAGGTAATTTTGTGCACTGGCCTTGGGAAACCCAGTCTTTTCTAACCGTAATGTCAGTAAAGTGTCCGGGCTACAAAAGATCATCTATAATTACTTATAAATTGTGGTGTTTTGGTCCATTGCATAAAAGCAGATGAACCTTGCATTTCTGTCTTTACTCAGGTTGACATGTACTATCTGAAGTTATAAGGCTATTGTGATAATTAAACTCATAGGTTATACAGCAAGCCAAAGGAGATATATCATAAAGGTCAAATTCTTTTCTAATATAAATGTAGTGGATTAAAGTGTTTTTTAACACTTTCTTCCTATCAATATTTCTGTTGTGTTTTCCTTTCATATATCTAACCAAGTGGGGAAAAATCCAAATACCCAGTTAATCTTTAAGAACTCTGTATATAAAGATAGATTTATTAGACTAGATATTGAAAAGTGCAGAATTTAAGGAAAATATTGTCACTGAAATAAGGATCATGATTATTATCAGGAAAAAATGATATTTCAGAGTATTTTGTAATCTTGCTATTTCTAAAAATTGCTTTTTGTTTTGAAAATGCTAACCCTACAACTCAACTGAACTATGTGAATTAAATGTAAATTGAGCCTATTTTATTTTTTACTCTGCTTTCATGTACTTATACTAATGTCTGACATTTCCTATATGCTTATAGTGGTTCATATTATCTCATAACCCTTCTTTCTGAAGACATAGATCTTCTACAATTATTTAAACTTGCTTATATTCTAAGTAAAATAATATTTTTAAGCATTAATAATAATCTAATGTCTACGGAGTTATTCAGCTTACTAAATACCAAGCACCATACAGAATTTTTATACATATCATCCTGTATCTTCAACAATAATCCTATCAGATAGTCAATATTTTTATCTCCATTTCGTTGTTGAAAATAACGAAAGATTAAAGAGGTCTGGTAATTTGCTTGTGGTCCTGTGCCAAGTTTTGAACCTGAGCTGACTCTGATTCCAAGTTCTTAATCTTTCTGCCATGTTGTACTCTGAATACATGGCTTGAATCAGCATCTATTCCTTTCACATCCTTGGGCTATAAGCAATCTATGTGCCCTTTTTCCCCCCTCTTCTTGACATAAGGGTGACCTACTGAGAAAGACCCTTTCAGAGTTTTTCTAGCCTCTAGTGTATCTTGTCTCCTGTTCCCAGATTTTACTGCTAGGTAGCAGTCTTTTCCAAGAATATACCATCTTCTGGAATTATAACCACTTTTTATTTCTTTTAATATACTTTGTATTAGGGACATCTGGGTGGGCTCAGTTGGTTAAGCATCTGCCTTTGGCTCAGGTCATGATCCCAGGGTCCTGGGATCGAGTTGCATGAATGTCAGGGCTCCTTGTTCAGCAGGGAGTCTGCCTCTGCCCGGCTTGTTCTCTCTTTCTCTCTCTCTCTCTGACAAATAAATATATAAAAACTTAACCAAAAAACCCCTGTATTAAAACATCTATATTAATTTTAGCCAACTTATACTCTGTTACAAAGATTATGGATTATATATATTATAAGTACAGATTTAGATTATACCTAAAGATAAAAATGCAGTAGCAGGGACGCCTGGGTGGCTCAGTTGGTTGGACGACTGCCTTCAGCTCAGGTCATGGTCCCGGAGTTCCGGGATCGAGTCTCGCATCGGGCTCCCAGCTCCATGGGGAGTTTGCTTCTCCCTCTGACCTTCTCGCTCATGCTCTCTCTCACTGTCTCTCTCTCAAATAAATAAATAAAATCTTTAAAAAAAAATAAAAATAAAATAAAAAATGCAGTAGCAGACATAGATCATTTTTTATTTCAGAATTAGAAGATCCTGGTAGAGTATCCTCTGAGACCTTGCAGCTAAAATATCCCAGGATATATTTTGGCAAAAGATGACCTCAAGTGTTCTAACTGCTATGGCCTTCAGAAGCACGGAAATTCTACATGCTGAGTAATCCAGCCCTTGTTCTGTGTTCCAAACCTCTGCCAAAAAGACTTTGGTTAAAACCATTAACTGTTTTATCCTTTTCTTTGCCTTTGATAGCCTCAGCAGAAATTAAATGCCCAGTATTTTTCCTCATTAAACCTTTATTTGTTCATTCATTTAGCAGAAATTATTAAGCACTTGCTAGGCACTTATAGAGATAGTCCCTAAGCATTCATCATCTAGTTTGGACAGATGAGTAACAATTCCCATACATTTGGTTAATGCGGGGATATAGGCAACACATAAAGCTTTGGGAGTACCTACAGATGCAGAAGACCAATCCAGACCTTATGAGGACAATCCAGACTTGACTTCTAGAAGGACCTGAAATCTAGGCTGAGTTTTGAGGGATGAGTAGAAGTGAGGACAAAAGCCCAAGGGCGGATGTGGGCCAGGAAAGAGCAATAGGTGTGTGCACTTTTTCAGAGGTTCTCCAGTGAACCCCAGTCTATAAAACTATATATTCTAATAATCCCAATGGCTTTCCCATTTTGCAGTAGTCATTTTCTATTAACTATTCAATGTCTGCCCCACTACTGGTGAGTCCCATCAGATAGGGACAAGGGGATAAAAGATACCCGACTTACATACTGCTGTAACCTCAGCACTCACTCTGTTGGTGCCTGACACACAGATGTTTAGTAAGAATGCGTTGAATGAACAGACATGTTTATGTTAAGGTTTGAATGGAACAATTAATGTACTATATTGAGCAAAATCAGGTCGCTGGATGTCACCCAAATAAGTGGGATTTAATATGCTAATTGCTAAAGCTCCAGCTGTGAACACTGTTAACCCCTTTCTCATCTCCTCCCTAAAATGTTATCTGTCATCGGAAGGAGCTATTTGATCATCAGTGGTCTGTGCTTCAAAAGGTGTTGTATCAAATAGGGAGGATGCGGTTCGAACTTGATTGGATTATTCACTCCTTAGAAGTGGAGAGTTGCTTATTAATTAGATTTCTTTCCCTTGCTTAATCAAGCAGAGTTTAACAACAGTAAATAAAACAAAGGAAAGCTTCTGCTAATGAGTACAGGGCATTATCTTGTGTCTTTCCACAGTGCATTCCAAATCTGAAGATTTTCTGTAGTCTGTGTAAAATAGTAAGAGTTCCTTTTAAGTTAAGATAATCAAAGTATTTATTAATGCGTTTTTATAAAGATCATACCATATTTGGTTGTTAGTGAATCAAACGGTCTGGTTAAAAATGAAGGACCAGATAGGAAAGAAGTATATGGAAAGTCTGATGCATGGCCAAGAAATTGGACTGTTGAGGTTTTTGAGTAGGAAAATAACAGGTCTGAGCAGGTTTTCTGGAACTGAAGTGACAAATGTAGGAGAGAAGAAAGACTCAAAAGGACTTCATAGCCACCCTAGATGCCAACACCGATCGGCAGGCCACAAGGGATGGCGAGTTAATCAAAGAGCTTTTTAAGGTTTGAGGGAAGAAGCCAGGTCCAGAGCTGTGAGTTAAGAGACCCCCACAGAGAACTGCTAATG